CAGGGGGGGGGGCGAGGGGCGCGCAAGCAGCTGTGGTATCGCTCGAAGCTGCTAGGCCAGCAAAACAGCCGCGTCTTAGTGACCTGAATTAATCTAATAAGCCTTTATTTGACCTTAATATTAGTTAAGGGCAGGTGTAGTATTTGCATAATCGTCCATTCAGCTCGGTGTTAATTACTGTGTCTGAAGTGCCCCGCTAATGAGATAACTGCATGATGACTTCAAGAAGGGAGTGGGAGGAAAACAGGTGTAAAATTAATCAAAGTGAGAGCATGGACTACATCAAAGCTTGCTCTGTCTACCAAAGTGAACTGTCTTAGCATTTGGTTCTCGTTACTCTAATTTATTACAAGCTTATGACTGCCGTTAACAAATGATGTGTCTTATATCAGCATGCAATAAAATCGGCAAGCTACACCTAGAGAAATATTAATGAAATTCCAATTTGTTTGTGTAATTTTATTAGTACTTTTCTGCAGACGTCCATGTAATGCTTCTTCCTGAAACAATCTGTAGATAGACTCGTCGCTTCTGTGAGATTAAATGTTATGTTATCAACCCTTGCTGAAGGTCTTCTGTGAGAAAAGCTCTTAGGAGAGTTACATGTTTTTGTCTAAGTATAGACTATGGAAACAGTATTTGTTTTCTAAAAGTAGAAATTCAGAAAATTTGATGGCTTCTGCCTATGCTTACATTCCACTCTCTCCTCATGGTGCCTGTCTATATAGTGTCTTAACTGAGAGAATTAAAGATGCCTGGCATTTTTCAAGAAAAAATTCAAGGTCTTGCAGAAACCAATTTAATGTGATTTGGTTTCTAGAAGTCTGTAGCACATATTCTAAGTTTGCAAAAAGCCTTTTCATAATAAGCACATAAAATGTAGAGTTAGGAAAACTTTACTTTTAACTTAACAAAAATTTAAAATTAAATTGACTCAGTCCATTTTCAGCTACTGTACCAGAGCAGATGAACAGAGTTCTGACAGAGATGTCATTAATCTTCAATATTTTTTTAAATAGTATAGTTTATTCAGCAAGTGCCTATTTTATTCTTCCCATAGCAGTTGTTCAAAGTAAAAAATATTAGGTCAGGTTTATTGTTTTTTAATGCAAATCACTTTCTTTCTCTAGGTTTTTGACGCGTGTGATGAAGATAACAAAGGCTATTTAAGCAGAGAGGAATTTAAAGCTGCTGTAGTAATGTTTCGTTATAAACCCACAAAGGTATATATTTTTTCATTTACGTTCTAAAGATCCAGCTTATATAGATGTCTCACTATTGAGAACTCTGTGTACTAACTGGTCTGCACTAATTGGAGTGGATTACTGTAGGTATGGTAAACAAAAATACCTACAGATTTTTAAAGTAATTTTTTTATCTGCAGGTATTTATTTCAAAAGAAAATAATCAAACCTCTACCTTTTCTACTGTAGACTGTGATGAGCAAAAGGATGCATTGTATTTCGTATGTGTGCAAAATGTATGAAATAAGTAACTTACTGAGCTTGTTATTGATCAATTACTGGTTTTTATTAGTGGTACACTCCATTTCTTTACTCAGTGGTTTCAGTAGATGTGAAACTACCACATGTCCTAATAATAAATATATATTCTCAAAAATATAGCTATTTTTGGTTTTAAGTAACAGTTGGGCATTTTCAGTCTTGACTTCTCTAATATAAATCTATAGTTGCATGAAAATCTTAACAAAAGAAAGGTTTATTGAGAGAAATCATGTGTTGCATACTCACAGGAAGATACAGGATAAATTGTATGGCTTGATGTAGTTCTGGAGGTTATGTTTCTACCCTAGTATTACAAATGATCTCAAAAGAAGAACACACATGCAAGATTTCAGAATAAATACATATGTGTCTGAGAGTTTGTCTTTCTCATGGCATGTCGATACAAGCTTGACCAATATACTATAAATATGATTAGCATAGAAATTGTGATTCATCTTTCTTCTCCAGTTTGAGCAATCTTCTTCCCCAAGGACCACTTGTGACTAGTGTTTGTTTTGGTTTTTTTTACTTAAATACGTATTTTAGGAAAATAGTCTTAACAAGGTCATAAACAAAATTTTGTCTATGATAATTTGAAGTAAAAAACGCAGAAATGTTTTATTAAACTGTGAAAGTAGTCATCTCATAGATTTCAGCTGTGGGTAAACATTTTCTCAGTGAGCTAGGGCCAGATCTAAAAATAATTTAGACTTCTAAAGTGAGTCTTAACTGCTGAATTATGAATCTGAAAATGGTCAGCTGCCCCTTATCTACCTTCTATCTGTTTTTACCTTCATGTAAAAATTAGCTGTTCTGTTAAATTCCCAGAATGTTTCTTCCAGTAGGAGTACTCAAAACATGCTTAAGGCATTCAGACAAGAGCAGCTGCCGTGCATGTCACTGATGGCTCCTTCTTGGAAAGAGAATAGAAGTAGAGGACTCCTGGGAAGAAAGAAGGTGGAGGTTTAGTGATTTCTTCCTGAAAAGGTGCCAAGTCACACCTGCTGTGTCTCTAGGCAGTGCTGCGACCACCTGGCTGTAGACCATTTTGTCTGTGCAGCTGCACAAAAATTAATTAAAAACGTTTGTTCCAGGAGTGATTCTGTCCTCTAGTGGTTTTGCTAGCTCCTTAAGTGGGCCCAGTTCCAGCAACTGTTGCTCTTTACCCAATGACTGCTCATTGTGAAGTACTAAAAGATCCCTGGGTAGACAGATACTTTTCTTTGTGGCTTTTGCTGACATGCATTAACTATGGTTTATGGCACAGCCGCACCTTTTGCTTTGGCTGATGGCTAGGCCTTGTAAATGTTCCTTTCAACATTTTGGTAGTTTTTAATCTAGTTCTGAGAAACAACTTTTGCTGTGCACCAGATAGGAACCAAACACAGAACTTAAAATCCTTAAAGGTTGATTGTCAAGATTCTGTTCTTGAGCATATTATTGTGCATTTTACTTTGTTGTCAAAATGATTAAAATCAGAGACGGTGCTAACAGCCCTTGTATGTCTTTGGAAGTCACTAAGAACAGCCCTGGCAAGGAAAGTACTTTCAAGAGCTTTTCCAAGAAATAGGGAATAGTGTGCATGCATTACTTCTTAAGTTAAGGTGAAACTGCTTCCTCAGCTACACTACATACTACAATATTTTTTTTCAGTAGAAATGGCAATTACTTAGCATCATCAACTGCAATCAAGCAACTGCATTTTTAGTAAATTGTTGCTGCATATTTTTTTTGGTCATGTTTTCATTTATTCTATAAATTAAAAGTAATACTAACTTTACCCACTAGGTGTCATTAACGAACTCTTTACTGGAGAAGGTGGGACCTAAGAATTTGAATCGCATTCCTACTCCACTTGCTTTTTCAAAATAATTTGTTGTAACAATTCCATATTATTTTTTATAAAATTTTATTTTTGTGTGGTTATTCATAGAGATTCTGAACTTACTACTGTTTAAAATTAAGCCTTCTGAGACAAATAACTAGGAAAACATGAAAATAGAAAGAGATTAACCTGATTGTTGGACTGATACTGTATGTGTATTTGATATATTAGCATATTAAAATCATCATTTCTGGGAACTAGCAGCATTGTGGGAATCATGTTTGTGGGACTTATACCTTTTTTCTCTGAAATTTTGGTTCAGTGATCCCCTGTCCCCCAAAATTATTTGAACTGATCTAGAATGCTCTCATATTTCAACAACCATTCAGCTGGCTAACTGCACATTCAGATGTTAAGTGTTTCAAATGAGAAAGGTACTGCAGGAGTAGTAGTCATGAAAATATGTTGTTTTCCCAGCTGAAGTTTCATTCCTGGTACTGTTACATTTAGATCTAACTAAAAGCACTCTCTGCACGGTGCCTAGGAGGCCAGGGCCCCCAAAATGTCCAGTGTTTTCCCTGACCCAGCTCTGTACCTTCACATCAGGACACCGGCAGGTCAGCATCTGCTGCTGAACAAGATGCCAGCAGCAGGGCACCCTGACATCCAGAGTACAGAAGGGCACTCTGAGCTCAGGGCTGCTTACAGCCTCCAGCTGCTCTTCTGGCACATCTTATCAAAGCTCTCTAAAAAGGACTCCCTAGTCTATTTGTATGCCTGACACAGTCTATGTGAAAAGTGTTGCAGGCCAAATGGAATATATAGTCTTAGGTCACGGCATGTTTGGCTTGCCCATTCTCCAGTATGCTTAGGTTGCACTAGAAGCTGCTAACATGTCTCCTCCCATGTGAGTTGTCTCAGTGCTGCAACTATGTGTAGTCTTCTATTCTAATAACATAGATGCAAGAATTTGGACTCATGAGCACTCAGTCATGCTAAAAAGCAGTATAAATATAGCCCCAAATGGACCTCTGTGCTTTTTTGACTATACCCTCCCTTTCTGTTCCTTGCATTGTTCAAAGATCTTTTCCAGTGATCTCTTGGTCACCTCCTAATTCAGTTCTGAAAAGTCATTTTTTTTTGTTTTCATCATGTCGTGTAGCTTTTTGCTTTTGTACTATAATGAATCTTGGTAATACACTAATATTAATGAGTATTAGTGAATCTCGGTAACACGCTAATCAACCTCTAAGTGTCAGTCCTGTGTTCCTATCAAATAAAATTGTGAGGTGCGATCCTATTGAAAGACAGTCAAGGAGATACACAGTACATAAAATGAGACAGTAGTGGATTGGTTTCAGGATAGTTGTAGAAGCTGGATGATGCAAACAGTTTTTTTCATTTCCTTCTATTTTTTTTATTCTCTACCATTTTATTAAAGTTTTTATTTTAGAGAGATTTACCAAATGAATTTTGATCAAACTAGGATTCAGGAAATAGTTGGTCTCCAATCTGAAACAGAAAGTTCTTTCATTGTTTAAAGGAAATAACAAATTTGGGGGCTGATGCTCCAAAAGTTAATTTTGAATATTACAGTTCCTTTGTGCGTAGTTGAACTCCAATCTGTATAAAGTTAAGCATGTTTGTTTAAGTGTACTTAGTTTAAGAGTTGGATATTGGTTAGGATTCTATTAGGACTATGCATATACTTAGTTTACTGGATGAAAAAGAGGTGGTTTTATTTTAATGAGAATAAAATATCTTCTTACTTAAATGCCATAGATTATACTGTTGTGTAATATGTATTATTAAGAGATCGGTATTTAGTGAAATCACATACTATTGATATAAAATGGAAATCACACAGGAGTTCAGATTTATCGCTTCTGTAGAAAACCACTGTGGCATATCTTCTGTGTTCCAGGTGGAGGTAGATTCAGTAATATCTTCTGTGAGACCACGAAATTCAGCAGATATGCGAACATCTATCTGTCAATGATTTTTACTCCTGTTTCATTAATAAATTTATCATTCTGAAGCTTAGACTCTCAAGAGTTTTAAAGAACCCAATTTAGATTAATGATAACGTATGTAATTGTATGAGGTTCAACAAGGCTCAGTGCCGGGTCCTGCACTTTGGTCACAACAACCCCATGCAATGCTACAGGCTGGGGGAGGAGTGGCTGGAGAGCTGCCTGGAGGAAAAGGGCCTAGGCGTGTTGGTCAACAGCTGGCGGAATATGAGCCAGCAAAGTGCCCAGGTGGCCAAGAGAGCCCATGGTATCCTGGCTTTTATCAGGAAAAGTGTGGCCAGCAGGACCAGGGAGGTGATAGTGCCCCTGTACTCAGCACTGGTGAGGCCGCACCTCGAGTACTGTGTTCAGTTTTGGGCCCCTCACTACAAGAAGGACATGGAGGTGCTGGAGCGTGTCCAGAGGAGGGCAGTGAAGCTGGTGAAGGGTCTAGAGCACAAGTCTTATGAGGAGTGGCTGAGGGAGCTGGGGTTGTTTAGCCTGTTTAGAAGAGGAGGCTGAGGGGAGACCTTATTGCTCCCTACAGCTACCTGAAAGGAGGTTGTAGTGAGGTGGGGGTCGGTCTCTTCTCCCAAGTAACAATTGATAGGACAAGAGGAAATGGTCTCAAGTTGTACTAGGAGAGGTTTAGATTGGAGATTAGGAAAAACTTCTTCATCGAAAGGGTGGTCAAGCACTGGACCAGGCTGCCCAGGGAAGTGGTCAAGTCCCCATCCCTGGAGGTATTTAAAAGACGGGTAGATGTGGTGCTTAGGGACATGGTTTAGTGGTGGACTTGGCAGTGCTGGGTTAATGGTTGGACTTGATGATCTTAAAGGTCTTTTCCAACCTAAATGATTCTATGATTCTATAAATGAGCTGACCATGGCTATTATAGAGGCTCATATGATTTCATTTAGTTTCGTATTATTTTTAGTGCTTGTACGTTACATTGAGCTTGAACTTATTCTTGCTTCTCAAAGTCGCATTTCTTAATAACAACATTACATAGATCAGTGATAGAGAAAAGTAATTAGTAATTTTTAGTGTTCAAGTTGGTAAGTGATGAAAAAGGTTCTATCAGTTTTTTGATGCTGTTCCACTGTTTACTTGGGCAAATACTGGAGTCTTACATCACAGTTTGATAAATATCTCTTTCTGTAACAACCCTCCCAGTTATATAGTTCTGTTTCTTTTTCTCTTGTCTTTGACCTTATCAATTATGCCCATACGTCTGTTTGTGGGGTCGTGTGGCAAGTCTTATTGGAGAAATGATTCATATAAAAAAATGAAGTGGCAAAAAATGTGGTTGCTTTTATCAGTAAGTTCCCCCAACCCTTTCGCCACATGGTCCCACAAGTATTTGTATCAATACATTTGAAGGGCATCGCGGAGGCTGGTTCGGTTTATTCTAGCACTGATGCCAAAACCCATGTTCATTAAACCACACCCTTACTTGTAAACTTTAGTTTAAGCAACAAATACAGAATAAAGATTTTACTCAGGTTTTTTTCAAGTGAAAAACCGCATATGAATGCCTGAACCAAAAATAGTGAACTAATATATAAAGATAGATTATGGATTTGTTAATACCTAATTGGCTTGAGTATTTTTTAAGATGACCTTTTTGTGTGTTGACGTAGCTTTACAGCCTGTTCTAGTAGCACATAAATTGCCAAGTCTCAAGATCAATGAATAGGCGGCACTCTATTATAGGAGTCATTCTATAAAAGGAAAATTGTATACTATAATTTTCTGGGTTTGTATGTTAGTCTGAAAGAGAAAAAAATAAATGGATGGAAAGCTTATATTGCTTTTTACTGTTTCACTTCCATAGTTATCCAATTGAATGGAAAGCTGTTCATGCAGGCAAGTTCAGTATGTTTAGGCAACCTCTGTTATTAAAGAAATTGTGCATGTACAGAACCTAGCAGTTGAAAGCAGCAAGGCTTTGTAATCCTGGAAACTGAGACTGTAACAGTTCTTAATATGTGATTTTCCAAGAAGAAATAAGGAAAGAAACATTGGAAATCTGTGAGCTTGGAGTTTAAGATTTGAATTGAGACAGCAGGTGGAGCTGAAGGAGTTGTGCTTTTGAACCACTGCAGAAAGAATAGGATATGAATGAATCAAAAGAAAGAGAAGTGCAGAGCTTTTGTTATGTTATTTGATAAAGAAAAATTCCTGCAGCATACAGTCATGTTGCCTTCTAAAGAAAATTAAATTGTTTAAAATTATCATAGTGCATCTATTAGAAAGTTACAAGAAAGGAATATTTGTCTGTTTAAATATTGAGCTGAAGTGGGATTTTTTTGCAAAAATATATGTATCTGCAGAATTTTTATATCAAGATTTTTGCATATTTCATGGGGAGGCCTGAAGTTTTGAGGGGCAGATTTTTGTTTCTTAATTTTTATGTTTTACTTTGATTTTAGAAGAAATGGTCAATTAAGGACTTACAAACTAGGTTTGCATTTCAATTTCTTTCATTTTCAGTTCATTAAGAGGATATGATAAATGTACAAGTAAAGACTTTCATATAGTATATGGGAGGAATAACCAATCCAGTTTTACATTCAATTTTATTATGAATTTCATAGGAATCTATATCTGAGGTTATAGATTATTTCAGAGTTCTCTCACTGCTGGGAATGATGCCAGATAGATTGTTTATGCAGCATGGATCTTTATCCATGGCGTGCAAGTGCTATTGACTTAGAAAAGTCCATGTTTCTCTCCAGTGCAAAGAAACATGAGATGGTAGGTAACAAGAAGAAAAAAGTAGAAGTAAACAGGAGCATTATACTCAAGTATAGAAAATATGTGGGAAAATTTAAACAATATTGAAATGTTTGCATGATCATGATCTAACTTTGAAGACTATTATTTCAGGTTTATTTTTTTGTTTATTTATGTAATTAAAATTATTCATAACTTTTAGACCACAGTTGTACATATTTTAAGGAGAAAAATAAAACTGACTTTTTGCAGGGAGATTTATTTGTATTTTACATTTTTCTAGGTCTGTTATTTGAAAAATTTTTAAATCTCATGAGTGCAAAGAAGTCTGCAGTTACACAGTAATGAAACAAGGCACATATTTACAGCTTTTGATGTGAAAGGTAGGTTTTTTCTCCTAAGTATTTGGAGTATTAATTTAATTCTAAAACAATTAAGCAAAACAGAACACCTGAAGGAAACAAAAAGAAGTTAAGACAAGGTGTCCTGGATGCTGCAAAGCTAAGTAAAACAGTACCAGAGTAACAAAGATCATTATGATATTACTATCAATGAAGTCAGGGTCAGTAGGCTGCAGTGTTCTAGATGGCAGCTCTGGATTGTCTGTTGTGCTATGAGCTCCTCCAGCTGTTAAAAGAAATCTCTAGCCATTCACCCTAGCTACTTGCTCTTACTACCTCTCATTATTTCTTTGTTACTTATACTCATATATCTCCACTCACTTATTTATGCCACATATTTTATGGATTTCTGTCCCTGGTGATGGCTGTAGATCTTTTTACTTCTCATGATAGACCAAGGAAGGGAAACCAAAACAACAAGGATTTTTTCTCGTTCTTGTTGGGAAGTAGATGTGATGATTCTTTTTCGTTCCTGCTAGATAGCAGAGGGTCTCCCATCACCAAATTGAAAAAAGGAAAACTTCATCAGGAGCCTCTGAGCTGATGGACATTCAGATGATCCTTTGCCTTTTTTTTTTCCTGACCTGAGATAGGACTATGGTCCTTGAAAAGAGGGAAAGTGAGACATGGCAGATTAGATGTTGGGATGATCAGATAAGCATCCACTCAGCTTTTTGCCATGAACCAAAAGTAGCTTTTGAAGTGTTATTTTTAGTGAGTTATTTCAAAGGACTTAACTGTTTCAAGCACTGTACTTTTGTTTGTCTTGCTATCTGCTGCACACAATCTGCAATAGCCCTATTTGAGATGCTTTGTTTTCCAGTTGGATCTGGAAGTGAATTCATAACCTAAGTGATTGATCAGGTGATATGACTCTGATATAATGTATTCAGGATCTTAAGTCTGCAGCAGGATTAAACTGAAGGAGAAATTTTTTATGAAAGAATATTTTTGAAACACAATGCTCAGAGTAACTAAGATGTCAATGAAAATGATAGATTTGAAATGTAATTTTGCATATTTTAGAGTCTATATTTTCAAAGATTTACAAATCTGAAATTTTCAATTCAAAATGTCTACTTTCAAAATTAAAACTTAAATAAGAGAGTTGTAGATGTTGTAGGCACAGTACTTTTGAACAGCGTTCACAGTGGCAAAAAGGAATTGTCAGTATAAAATCTTTCTTAGACTGTTCGTCTATATAGTGTAGCCATCCTAAAATATGTTGCGAATACAGTAACTTAGAGTGTATAATAATTTCAGAAATGTGAATTGGTTATCTCACATGCAAACATGATGATTGTATTAAGTAGTTTAAAAAAAACCCTTAATTTATGTTATTTTTCTTTTGCCTAATCTTGATTTAAAAGATATTTTGACTTTTGAAGACTTCAAGAAAGCCTTCAATTCTGCTTCTCCTAAGTTACCTGAAAGAATCATAGTTGAAGCCTTCAGGTACGATTAACAGAGAGATCCTTATTCCTGGATAGCAGGCTTTTTGTTGTATATATTTCAGTTAATTGAAATGATTAGATTCTATCATGCAACTGAAGATACAGCACATTCAGCACATTACTGTTTCAGTGCCTTTAATAACAAATATTATAAATATAAATAATATGTGTAAATGAAAAAATAATTAATATAAATTGTATAAATAGAAATAATAAAAATAATAAGCATAATTAAAATAATAAGTATTACCAGATACAGAAAGTGATTTGTTGTCTGTACTGTTTCTTAAGAAGCCTAAAATTATTTACTTTTACATTTTCCTCCTGTAATCAGGGAATCTGCATTCAAGAGCTGTCTCTTGAAAAATTCAGTTAAACTGTAGCACATATTGCGAGGCAGTAGTGTTGAGATTTCTTGCAAGGTGAGATTGGCTCAGAAGTGAAAGGATAAAACTTTGAGAGTAATTTGCAGATCATAAAAAATTAATCTTACCTCTGCAGTTGCCAGTAAACATTATTTTAAAAATGTTTTGGAAAATAATGCATTGCAAATTGTAAAACTTCCCTTTTGTGATGTGAATGATTTGTTTGGAAGTAGCTCAGTCATTGAGAGAAGTCCTTCACTTTAGAAGACATGGCATCAGGTAGCTTGCTGAGCACCGTCTTTAAAAGGTGGTGTTAGATTTTGGGTTGTTTTTCTTTTTTGCAGTAATCTGGAGTCATGGTATAAAGCATTATAGCAGAACGGGAACTGATCTGTGCATCTTTCAAGCCGCTGGCATACAATAACAAAACCAAAGTTTAGAGTGACTAGAGTCTTAGATGATACTCTTGTGTTTTTGCACTAAAGATGTAACTTATTTGGGGGAGAGTAATTATTTTAAGAAGGTTTGAAAAGTTATGTGGTATATTTTTCTTGATGCCCAAGTGATTTTGCTATCACTTTTTGATATATTGTCCAGAAGGGAATAGGAAAATGTAGGTAGAATAGCTTGAGGTGTTATCCTTTTAAAATATTTTAAGGACTTCCATGAAGGGCCTAAAGTCCAATTTTTCTGTCCAGTGATTAAAATGTTTTTCTTGAATATTAATCCTTTTTAGGTCAGAAAAGCATATACAGTTGCTGTTCATATTGTTTTATTTTGCATTTTTAAATATATTTTTTCATTATCTTTCTCATTTGAAAAATTGTCAGATAAATTCAGACTTAGCTTCATGTTGTAATATAGTTCTGAAAACTTTTGGCCCATCTTTCTGTCAATGAAACTCTCCAATTTCAAATTTAAATTATAATCATGATGAATTTAATAAATGAAGGAAAGTTCAACCAAATGTTACAGTATTCTATGTGTCTAATAAAGAAGAGATGTCACGATCAACAGTAGCTCTAGTGCTAGCATATTAGTATGTAATCACAGTCCGGCAAATGAAACTTGTGATTGCGTGTTTATGAATGAGGTATGGAACCTGAAGAGAAACATAGAAAAATTTCTTTTTCAAGAAGTTGTTTGCATGTTTCTTTGGCTACTCTTGAAAGAAATTAAAATCATAGAATCATAGAATCATTTAGGTTGGAAAAGACCCTTAAGATCATCAAGTCCAACCGTTAACCCAGCACTGCCAAGTCCACCACTACACCATGTCCTCAAGCACCACGTCTACCCTTCTTGCACAATAGTATTGAGTAATATAGATTTCTTTAGGACTGAACAGGCCAAATCTGCATGGAACTCTTCAGAATTGTAATTTGAAATCAGAGTCCTAAATCCTCTTTGAGGTACACATCCTTTTGGGATATTCCTTTTAACTCTTGGTATGTATGTTGAACTTTATGTAGGGAAACAGAGCTAAGACTTTTGTCCTAAATTGAGCTGTACAATTAGATTAAAACTGTATGAAAAGAAAGCCAGAGGAAATATGTTGGACATAGATATTTGTCAGAAGCTTCAATGTATTTCTGGCACAAAATCTGTATTACAATGGATTGCTAAAGCAAACAGAGCATATATAATTTCATATTTGTAGATAAGTTTCTTGTTCTTCCCTCCTTTTAGTATGGAGATCAAAATTAAGTTTTGGGACTGAACATAGTTTTAAAATATTTGTTTTGTGTTAAGTAAAATAATTTACAACACATATACATGTAAGATGTTTAACATCTTTAGGTGTGATGACTCTGATCAAGTGTGAGTTCTAAAACTATGTCTATATTAGCTATTAATACAGCACATAGGGATCAGGTCTGTAGAGCACGAAATTTATGCTGTGGACCCAGTATCTGTATGACATTCATTGAGGGAGTTACCTGGACTAATTCTAGTCTGGTCAACAGACTGAATGATCTCTAGAAGTTGGAGTGCTTTGGGTGCATGCTGGGAGCACATCTTTCAGCTTAATTTCATCTGGAAGGAATGCAGTTTGTATACTGTGATCACTGTGATGTTAACCATAGTACAATCAGCAGGGAAGACTGGGAGATTCAACTCAAAAGAGCATTCCAAATCTTAAAAAAAACATAGTGACATATTGAGACAAGGAAAAAAACCCTTAATTGGTATATTTCAGAGCTTTGTGAAATTGTTATGTGAAAAGGCGTTTTTATGTTTATTTACGAAATATTCACTTTGGTGGAAATGCTATCTCTAAACCATGTCAGGTACTGGTGGGTTCCTTTAATTTGGAAGGTTGCGTGTATTATTTTCTTATACTTTAAATGAAGTAAAATGTTACAGAATAAGCTAAGTCTGTGGTTAGTATCACAAAGGGTAAAAGGAAAGGGAAGTAAGAAAAAAAGTTAAAGGCACAAACATAATATTTAGCTTCTCTACTTACCATACAGAGCAGGGAATTATTTTCTTCTATAGAGTGTAATTCTCAACATATTCTTAGACGTAAAAATGAAAACAAGTGTATTCAAGCTATGCAGAACACAAAGAAGGAAGACTATCAGTAATTGATGTACATTAAGAATGAATGGCCCCACCAAAGTCATTTAGCTTTCAGATCAAGTAGACTTGATTTGTAGGTGTGCAAAATGCTCATAATGAGGCATCCATACATGTTGAACTGATTTTAACAAACTTGAGGCTTGAAAATGAAATTCTTGTATTTATCATTCATATATTTTACTAATATTAAAATAGTCTTAAAATGTGTAAAATAATATAGTAAGAAGCTAAATAATAATGGATTATTTTTCTAACCTACCTGTAAACAACTGTTATGTTCAAAATCTTTTTATGGCTACAAAGGAGACACCTGATACATAAAGCCAGTATTTATTTTTACTATATGCTGACATCTTAACAGTCTAGTCAAAGAATTAGTATTAGTACAGATTTAATAATTGCAAAAACAGAAAAATAAAATAAAGAATACTATGCTATAAAAAGTCTCAATGCAGTTAAATATTTTATACACCTCCTAACGTCTACCCCTTTTTCTGTTGTTATTCTCAGTCTTCCGCTGTCCCTCTCAGTCCTGAGGTTGACAGGTTCAAGGCAGGCATGGTAGGGTGAATTGCCATTATCCTGACTTCTTCACCAGAAGGAGTATGATACTCATATTGATGTTTTCTTCTCTCTCACTCTAGCATCCACTTTGGGTCATTTTTATGTTTTCTAACACAGTTTACACCTTCCTCTTTATTCATTAGTCTGCAAGCCCAGATTGCATCCAAATTTACTACATATGGCACATACCACATATTTTAGATACTTGTTCTTTGCTCTCTTTGTCATCCGTAAAACCACTTTTATCCAGCTCCTGTGTCTGCATTTCTTTAACTGACCGTTGCCGAGTTGTTTATAGACTTGGTCCTCCAGTGTTAGCTTGTGCCCTGTATCTTAACACCCCATGCCTGTACTCCTCTATATGCTGTGTCTTTACATCTGAAGGCCTTTGCTATTATGCCAACTCTATATTTCTCTACATCATTGTCATAGAATCATAGAATCATCTAGGTTGGAAAAGACCTTTAAGATCATCAAGTCTAGCCGTTAACCTAGCACTGCCAAGTCCACCACTAATCCATGTCCCTAAGCACCACATATACACGTCTTTTAAATATCTCCAGGAATTTATCTTAAACTCATAAATATTTCATTTTACATAGAAGAAATTTGTGTTACTACTGTCTGTATAAAGCTGTGTTTATACTGTATACAGGTAAGAAGAACAATTGAGACATAGCCACCTGGTCCTTAAAAGAACTGCTGTTACACATAAAGCAAGTAAAATCTCCAGGCAGGTGACGCAAGTTCAGACAAAGTCTGACAAGCCTCAGTCCTCAGACCCTGCAAACTCAGTACAGAGTTTGTGATCTGTTATTAGCAATGGCTGTGCTATATTTACTGGAATACAGGGCTATGAAACATACAGTTAATATCTCTGCTTTACTGTAACATTGTATATTTTTTTATAAATGTGTAAAGATGTAGTGAATTAATTTGAATTGGTAATAGAGCTTCAGGATGGAGTGGTGTTGTTAAATGCTCTATTTTATGAAAGAAAAAAGATACCTCATTCAGTAGTGTTTCTAAGTATAGTAAGTGGGTGGGGTTTTTTTAATTCCATGGGAATAGGACCAAACATAAATATATTTTCATCTCATACTGATAAAATAATATTTAATACAGATGTTCTTTCCCCTGAGGGACTGTTTTCTTAGAAATGTCAGTAATATACTGCACTTAGCTATTGCTAAAGTTTGCAAAATGTGGGTGAGTTTTCAGTTTATATTTGATTGTATTAACTGACCATAATCTTGCCTGAACAGTAGCGTAACATTTATTGTTTCTGAGCTAATATTGCAGTTATATTGAACAAAATGCTCAAGTGCTTATCATGGACCCAGTGTGCACCTGATTAAAATGCCATAGTACCATAAAATCTCAACATTCTTGACACAAGAGCTGCAGAAGTACCTGCTAAGGTAAATGGTGTGATGATATGTTCTTTCATGATGGAGCTCTTTGTCATGGGTAGCACACACAAGACTTT